GGGGGGGGCTCCGCTAGGCTCACGTGTGCTCTGTTGCACTTACCCTATGCTCAACTCATTCCAACCTTGACCCGACTTCTCCAGGTGTTTCCTCACGTTATATCGAATTTCCGTACAAACAAACAAACAGAAAGACAGAGCGCTTTATATACAGGGTGGGCCAAAATTATGATTACACAGAAATCACATCGCAGAAAACGAACAGAAAGCCAATAGAGCAAACCAATTTCATGAAAGGGTTTAGCCCAAATTTCTTATCAAAACTGTACATTGTGACTGGGATCTGTTGCTTTCTGCTTTCACCCAACCCCAAAGACGACGATGGACGGCATTGACGGTGGCACGCAGCTAGGGTCATCGAAGTGGTCCCGGCTTTTTGCTAAGCATTTTCGAGATTATTTCTTCTCTTGTTTGGGCTAAAGGATGCTTTCATCTCAGAGGCTGACCACATTGAGACATTCATGGGATTTAGGTCAGGGCTACAGAGTGGTCACTGATCGAAGGTTATGAAGTCAAAGAACCCCTTCCACGAAATTTCTAGACAATTTCTGTTCTGCGGTCAGGAGCTTCATCGTGACAATATGACCGGTTCGAATCACCAAAGTGTCCTATTGCGCACGAAGAGATCAAACGGGCCTCCAAACCAACTTCCACTCCATAATTTACAAGAATAATCGGTGTCTTTGCCTTGGCGGTGATGCTAGCACAGGCCATCACAGAAAGTTAGTGAGCCAGACGCTGTAACACTTTCATTTCTTTAAGCTTCATATAAATGTTATCGCTCTACTTATTGAGCACCTATTTCACCGTGATTCTCTTTTCGTCGGTGAACAGGAATTCCGTAGGACAACTTTTTCGGATGCGACAGGCAGCTTTTGTTAGCCAACCTTTCTCTTCCCTTTAACCTGCTCTCTGAGGAAATCACTTTCCGACCGTATAGGGGTCTCGTTGTGCAGGGGATGCTTCACGATTTCACGCAGAAAATTTCGTGACATATCCATTCATTTATCCTTTTTGGACTCAGGATGAATTTTGCTCCTACGTAGACCTTTGCCCTGCTTTCTTGAGACTTCCCCTAAATATAACCACAGCTCTTCTAGGTTCACCACTCCTACCTGCAATTGTTCCCAACTCTCGAGAGCGTCTTATGGTTGAATGCAATACCTGCCTTGTTTCGCTAGTTCGTCTGTAGATGCACCGTGCCAAAAGTGTTTGTAAATGCAAAGCTACGTTTAATTCGCGGACTAGTTACGCTTATATTATGTTAAAAATCTACCCAAAGTTTAGTATCATTAGAAAGGTAATAACGTAAGCTACTTTGTGAAATGGAAGGAATTGAATGAATTATTACGAACATAGAAATAATTTGCAATGAACGTCAACGCGCGCTGTAATCATAATTTTGGCCCACCCTGTATAGTAAGGAATATTTCGAATTCTACTGCCCTACTACAAGAGATGTTTGCGGATTTCGAGCTTCTGAACTCCATTATACCTACATATATAATATTTCAACCTGCTCTTACATTGGAATTTCAAAATGTTTACACTGCAACCGCACTGATCTTCTGCAGCCTCACATGGTTCTTCTACATATCCTTCCGTGTGTTTTTCCTCACCCACCACAGCCTCAACGGAAATCAGTATGGGAAACAGCTTGGAGGTGGCTCCGAGCGTGATGACTCCGGCTATCAGGAATAAGGCAATCATAGCACACTGTCAGTCTTTACTTCTCATTTTCCGAACCATAGTCCTAACAACGCCGTTTAATAGCTCTTCATACGTCGGTTGCGTGTCACTTATCACTTTTTCCACGACCTTATCACTTTATTTTATGAATGTTCATCTTAATGAAACTGCGCGAAGGAAAGCAGGATGCTCGCAGGACAAAGGTGGGCAACAGCAGCAGCTGAGGGGGAAAAAGCCCCACACACCAGACACGTTAGAAGAGCGCGGTCGCCAGTGGGTTCAAGCAGTAAACATCTGTTCACTACAAAAAATAATGATCGAAGCGAGATCAGGTTTATTCAACAAACCCCCATGCCCTGTTGCAGGTCGATCCCAGCGCAGAAAGATTTCCCGTTTCCCGATAGAACGATGGATCTGCACTTTGGTTCTTCAGCAAGAGCATCAAACGTTGTTTTCATTGCTCTGCAAACATATCATTCAGAATACTGAAGTTGTAGATTGATGCCACCAATGTCAAAGCTGACAGTTGCGCAACCACTAGGTACGCAAAATCTCAAATGTCAATCGTTGACATTCTAAGTTAAAAACGTACTTCCACAGCTCCATTGTGAAGGTATTGCGACGGTCTGGTCGATTCAGTCTCACATGATAAACGTGTGGTGATGCCTCTTCCACTTCTAATCCTGCATTCACTGGGAATGATGAATTAGAAAGGCAAGACATTGAAAAGGAACGACGACATATGGTAGGGAGTGGCCTGTACATGAACTGAAAGAAGTTGTCTCAGCAAAAGCATCCCTACTGAGGCGCAACAACACAGGAACGAAAATAATTCCAAAGGCGGACCACATAAGATATACGATTTCCCCAGCTCGTTCAAAAATCGGTTCTATCTTCATTCGCAGAAGATAGCAGCGTTGCATCAACCAAGAGTCGACACTTTCCTCGGTCGAGCCGCTACGGTTGTCGGCCCGTTGTGTGCCGGCGTATGTGCCGGTGTGGGTGTCGGTGTGCGTGTGTCGATGTGTGTGTCGGTGTGGGTGTCGGTGTGCGTGCCGATGTATGTGTCGGTGTGGGTGTCGGTGTGTGTGAGTCGGTGTGCGTGTGTCGGTGTGCGTGTGTCGGTGTGGGTGTTGATGTGTGTGCCGATGTATGTGTCGGTGTGTGTGAGTCGGGTGCGTGTGTGCGTGTGTCGGCGTGTGTGTCGGTGGGTGTACCGATGTGCGTGTGTGTCGGTGTATGTGTATCGGTGTGCGTCGGTGTTTGTGCCGGTAGCGTGTGCCGGAGTGGTGCCGATGTAAGTGTCGGTGTGGGTGTCGGTGTGTGTGAGTCGGTGTGCGGGTGTGCGTGTGTCGGTATGTGTGTGTCGGTGTGGGTGTCGGTGTGTGTGTGTGCCGGCGTATGTGTCGGTGTGGGTGTCGGTGTGCGTAGACCGATGTGCGTGTGTATCGGTGTGTGTCGGTATGTTTGTGCCGGTGGGGGTGTCGGTGTGCGTGTGTGCGTGTATCGGTGTGTGTCGGTATGTTTGTGCCGGTGGGGGTGTCGGTGTGCGTGTGTGCGTGTGTCGGTGTGTGTATCGGTGTGTGTGTCGGTGTGTGCGTCGGTGTGCGTCGGTGTGCGTCGGTGTGCGTCGGTGTGCGTCG